CGGGCTGGGCAGGTTTGCCCAGCAGGGTTTGGCCCAGCAGCCCCGAAGCCCAGGTGCCCCAGGTGTGCAGCCTGCGACCTCGTGTGCCCCACGGCTGGACACGCCAGACCAAAGTCTCCCTCCTCAAGACAAGGGTTTGAAACAGACAAGCTGAGTTTGAAACATCACCTGAGGAGGCCTTGAGCATAGCTTTAGGGCAGAGGCATGCAGCCTTGGGCTGTGAGCCCAGCACCAGCCCACAACCCCTGCCTCCCTACTGCCTCTTCCCAATGGTACCATGTGGGCCTGGGGTTGTTGTCCCAAAGACAGCTACCCGCGAAAGACTGAATAATGCCCTAATCTCCTTTTTTCCCACACGTCAAACAGGGTCCTGGTGCTGCTCACATCTCCCTGCCCTTACTTACCCTGAAACAGCAGCTGCCAGGGTGGCCTGGGATCCTCACTGGGAGGAGTAATGGTTTATTGGGGGAATTTCAGGGGGCTGGGATTTTCTAGAGCTCTCCCAGCAGGTTAGAGGGGGCTCCAGAGCTTCCCATGGCTGAGATGGAGGGGAGAAGGAGGGAATTTCCAGCATTGAAGCTAGGTTGTATCTCCAGCAGCTTTGGCATAGAGATGTGATAGATCCACACTCCTGGGAAGGTAAAAGTCCCAATGTTGACCCAGGGGTTTACAATTTCTCAGGAAGGTACCCAGTATTTCACAGCTGTTTCTTATAGCCCACAGCTGTTTCTTATAGGGCTGATTTTGCCCTCTCCATGCTGATCAGATTGTGCATCCATAAAGTAAGTATGCTGCAGTCCAAGGACATAGGTGCTCTGGGAGACTTTCCCTGCCTCCTTTGCTGATGGGCATCAGGAACCTGGTTCAAAAAGTAGACCAAAGGCAGGGAAAGGAATAAAGCAAGAAGAAGGTTTGGTAGCACTAGGGCTGGGAGGAGAGCTGGAAAGGGAGAGCTGAAGAGAGACTAAGAATCAATGTTGGAGGATGGTGTGTGGAAGGGACCTACCTGTTTTAACTCTGCTGTCTGCCCAGGTGGCTGTTGGTGTGGTGGAGTTTCCTGTTGAGTTTCCTGTTTTGTTTTAGTTTCAGCTATTACATGGGAAACTACATGCACGAACAGCATTAAAATCCCATCATGGTGATTGTACAGTGAGAAGCTCAACAGTGAAGTAATCACTGAGCAACTCATATATATGCATATATTTATAAATATTATTATTTATGTTGCTGATTTTCATTCTTAT